ACCCCTGCTAATCCACTTTCCCATTCACTCTCAAAAGAGAAAACTCTCATGAAGAGATTATGTAAAAGTGCAAGTGCTGAATAAGTCATCTTTCAGACAAAGTTTCTTATACAAACAAGTATTTTAAATTATGGTGAAGATGTCTTAAGTGAATCAAGAGTATAATTTACAAATAATTCTGCTTAAATATCTAAAATTAAGATATTTCTTATAGAAAATATTGAGACAAATATTCCAGCTTCCACTGTGTTACTAAAAATAGGGTTTCTTTAATGCAGAGGCTAATGACAGTATACCAGGGGTTTCAAAATGTTAATAAAACTCAGATGTTTTGCATGCTACTAAACCTCACTCTACAGAATTATACTGAAGTAAAATGCCATCATATGATGGCTTCATAGGCCATTAAACAATTCACAAACCTTCTGCATATGGTACGACTATCAACGCTCTGTCAACGAATACAGTGTTTGTCAGATGCTGGGCCACAACTGCCGAGTCAGGATCATGGAACTTTACAAAACAGACACGTGATGAGACAGGCAAAGGAGAATCACTAAAAAAAGAAAGAAATGTGTTAGATATAAAGTTAACAAAAGCAAATTCATTTGCAGAATTTGTTGTTTTTATCCATTCACTGAACTTAGGACTAAAGAATTGTGTTCAACTACAGAGTAGGTTTAAACCTACAAACATAAAAACTGTAATAGGGATTTCAGTTTTGTATCTTCTGCTATGAATTATAGTAACTGAAGATAAACTTATACTAAATGAATCACAACAAGATTCAGAAGCAGGATGTTGGTAGCAGACCACATCCAAAAATTAATTAGCATGCATCAGTATGGAATTCCAGAGGCAGAGATCCAATACAGAATGTCTTGTCTGGACATATGAATCAAAGTACTCTCCTCCTAGTACAAGATACTAGTATTCCCAGTACTCTCTTCCTTGATACAAGATCTCAAGATACAGGCCACATAATTTTATAAGAAGCATATTTTGCTCAGAAGTTAATTAGCAGATTGTTTACAACAAGGAACAAAGATAAGATTCTTCTCAGTTTACACCAAGGAAAATCAGCTCTCATGAGCTAGAAGTTTCAAGGCCCATGTAGAATGTGTTGCTGTGGCCAAGCCTTCAAACTGACAGAAATATGGTTTACAGCAAAAACCTGCGTACATGAGGCACAGTCAATGGCCAGAGTTAACAGGTAGCATGGCAAAGAACTACCACTATATGAATGTCCAGAAACAGTAATAAGACCGGTTCTTCAAGGTGCTTCTCTCTGGGTTGAATACAAGCCAGCTAGGCTTTCAATCAGAGCTCTCTTTAAAATAAGTGGAGAACAAGGTAACATTTTGTCAAGCAACAAACACACAATTGAATTTAATATTAGCTTAACAGGGTTTGATTGTTCCACCTAACCCCTGATTACTGTAAACATAAAAGCCAAAGACCAGACTCAAGAATATAACCATTACTATCAGAGACAGAAAGAATATATCAGTAAGAATAGTAATGCAATTTGATGCATTTGAAGGCTCCAGCATGCGTAGTCCTATGCAATATATTTCTGATAATTTCCTCTTATGATACGAAGCAAAATCCAGGTATACAAAATATTCTTTATTGTTTTGTGATATACATGTCTTTAAAAGAAATACGAAATAGTTCAAGTTTCCATATTAGAAAAACTGTACTTGCTGCTGAACAGATTTTATTATACTTATAATACAACTGTTAATTCAAAAACTTACTAGTATAATTCCAAATTTACTTCACATATGTCAAAATTCACACATACTAATAGTGGGTTTTTTTCACTTCTTGCCCACAATATGAGATCTGTAGAGCTCTCATTAGGGACCTTAACATTTTTGTAAGATACTTTGAGTTGTATACTTGGGCAGACAAATTATATTTTGCAGTGTTAAGTCACAGTATCTCTCAATCAGCACAAACCATATTAAAGTACTGAGTTTATAAAAAAAATATATTTAAAATGAGGTTTGCTATTTAAGTTATAATTATTTTAATTTTTAAAATAAAACTGATAAAATTAAATTAAAATTAAATGAAATTTAATATAAAAGCTCTAAGCCAACTATAATCTCATAAAACATTCATTTAAATGTCCTGAATCCGGAATGTTAACCTAAACATCTGTCAAAATGTTTAGTCTACATGCATTATGTGTATTTCTGTATGACAGAATCAGGAGTATATCTAACTTCTGAAGTCAGGCTCAATAATATTCAGAGCCTGACAACTGGATGCATCCTGTATTAATGGTCTGAGGTTCTAGGAGACCCAGGGGTTATACTGTTGGGTGCAAAAGATTGAAGTCATCACAGGGATCAGGACCTCACTCTATGATGCACCATGGTTTAAGGCTGTTTTATTTGTTAACATATTTTACATGCTATTGTACATTTAATTAAATTTCAGTTACCAACTTAATAGTTATTTAACAAAAACGTGTGTGTGTGTGTAGCATACTAAATAAATTTAATAAGAATCTGAAAATAACAAGTTACACCATTGCTTAAATAAATGCCTATGGGTAAGGTACCCCCACTATGTAGCAAGAAAGTGCACTAAATCCTGGCATAACGTTTCAATTTAACTGTAAAACAGTGCATTTTAGTGGTTAAATTAACCAATGAGAATGAGTCTCTCTTTAAAAAAGAACTGAAGTACAAATAAAAACTTTGATTACAACAGACAGAATCATAGAAAGTTAAGGTTCAAAGAGACCTCGGCTTTATCTAGTCCAAGCCCTCCTAAGATCATTTAAATCAAGACCTTCCACTTGGTGGTTTATGCCATTATATAAATTGACTTGGTTTTATTTTAACAGGTAGATTGATTTAACTAAGTGTAACCTAGTCTAATAACTTTTTGTGACTAAATTGTTCTCTCTTCAGGAGAGTCTGACAGGGCAAAGAGGCTTTATTTGAGAAGCTCTAAAACTGTGGTTCTGATCCCTTTTAGACTTAAAGCACCCCTCAAAAACCAGTGAAAAGCCAAGCCTCACACCAAAAGCCAGGTGTCTGTCTCTCCTTTGGACTCCATGTCTCCTGTAACTGGGACTAACATCTTCCTGAAATGAAGCAAGGACACAAGCAGCTGGTGAGAAAGGGAAACTGAACACAAGTAGATGGCTGAGCAAGGAGACAGACCTGATGAAGTGTCAAAATGCATGTGCACACATGTAAATGGGGAGGGAGGGGGGATGAAGGAAACTTGCATAAGGTGAGGCAAAAGAGTGAAGAATTAGCTCAGTGAAACAGACTATGACCGGCAACTAGCAGGGACCAGGATCTTGGAAAAGGAGCATAAAATGTGTTGGGAGAGAGGGAAAAAGGTAGTTCCCTGCAAAATCTAATCTTAAAATGTTGAGACTGCAACTCTTAATTCTATTCCAAAAGGTTAAAAAAAATTAAGACTTTGTAACCCTGATTTGGCCTCACGGTGCTTTATGACTGTGAATGGCAACACATATCCATAAGAGAAAGCATTCAGAAGAAATCATGATGTATATCAAGGGTTATATCCCACAGCAGGGGTTTTCAACCTTTTTTTAATCTAAGTACCCCCGGCGGCTGGACACCAAGCACGGGGAGGTGGGGGCTAGTATGGCCAAATGCCATGGGGTGGGGACCATGTGGCCAAACATGGAGCAGGGAGTTGGGAACAGCATGTGGGTAAGCTGCCATCTCCCAGGACGGGACAGGGCAGTGAAGCTCACCAGGCTGGGCGAGGGCAGTGGTGCCCCTCTGCAGGGCACAGCTCACCAGGTTGGTGTGTGGCAGCAGCAGCCATCACGTGCAAGCTTCCCCTCCTTGCAGAGGGGCACTGCTGCCCTAGCCCCGCCCTGGCCCTGCTCCCGGGGGTGGTGGCACTCCATCCCCACCCACCTGCACGTACCCCCTAGGAGCAGTCTAAGTACCCCCAGGGGTACGTATACCCCTGGTTGACAACCCCTGTCCCATAGCATAGCAATTAATGTCAGGGGCTCTAAGGCACTGAGCAGAATTTTGGCAAATCACTCAACCTGCCCTGGTTGCATCTGTACAGTAGTGACACTGTTTCCCCACATACATAGACAATGTAAAGATAAAATTGAGTGCCCAATAGTCATTAAACACAGCAATAGACTGTTATGACTTTTATACAAGTTAAATCTACTAAAAGGTGTTTCTGGCCCTCCTGGAGGAAAAAATGAAGGTCTGTGGCATCTAAGTGATTCTTCCTCAGCTATTAACATGTTAAATACTCACAAATCATAAAAAGTGTTTATCCGCTCCAATTACGGGCCCATTCTGTCTTCTCTGATACTCCAAATTTCAATACAAAATACCCAGTACAAAACAAACACTAAAAGCAGAATAGTGTTGACTATGTGAATTCACATCCAAACAGTATGGGAGAATTTTCTTTTTCATATGGGGGGGGGGAAGTGCGTTGTGGGGGGCAGGAATATGAAAGAACAAAGGTTTTCATGCAAAGGCATCTTTATTTTAATAACAATTTGAAGCTCAGCGAAAAAAACTGGTAAGAAATAAGCATAACAGACAAGAATCGACATCACGGCAGCCTGTCAAACGACATCGCTTGCTTCTTACACGCTGACACAGATGTTGCATGTGGGGAGTATCTATGGTCCACATGAATGCATCGTTACTTGAAACATCTTAACCTCTCGCTAACTTCCGCTTCTACTCCTACTCGATCAAACCCGACTGACACCTACTCCATGAAGGCAGCAGGGCCTGCTTTCTCGTGCCTCGGCTGCTGGAAAATCAGCAACTGAATTTCTATTTGGTGGCACTATTTCAGACGGGGCAAGCACCCAAGCTGCAGACCCCTCACAGCCTCTGGGCTCAGACGTTTCACGAGAAGCTGCAATGGGGTTTCCTAAGGGCCGGTTCTCTCCCAGCTGGATCCAAGCTCAACACCTCAGCAAACGAACTCCCCGGGGCCACTATCCCGTGGGAAGGGGCCCCAGTGGCTGTGACCCGGTGGGCTGGAGAAGGAGACGGGCCTCACTCTCTTAACAATGCAAAACACCGTCTGCCGGCTCGCTCCCACCTGCCTTGCTGCTTCCCAAGGCCCCTTTAGCCGGGCGGGCAGGACGCGGGCCGAGACGGGCTCGAGGCAGAGTGCGCACGGGAGCCGCCAGCCCCTTGCGAAAGCCGCGAGCAGAAAGCAGCCGCGCACACGCCGGAGGTTGGGGCGCCCCCTCCAGGCCCGGCCCGGGAAGAAGACGGGGCCAGGGCGCGCGAAGGAGGCCGGGCCCAGGGCGGCGCGGGAGCGGAAGGGGGCGG